CGAAACCAAGCTAGAACATTTAACTAAATTGATTTTATTACCTTAATCAGCCTTATCGTTTTAAGTAACTTAATAATTAAGTTAAGAAATATAACATTAAGCTTCATTATTATTATTACGATTGTTGTAGCTGCCTTGGAATTTCAGCTGGAGTCAACAGCTTACAATAAAAACATCGCTCATTTGTCACTTTGAATTTTTCCATTTTCATTGTTCCCGTTTTGTTTTTTGCTTTTATTACAATGAAAGTTAAAAAAAAAAGCAAAAAAGAATGCCACCCAAGTTAAAAACAAAAGACAAGCTTCACAAAGGCATCAAGTGCCAACGCCTCAGAGTAACTGGCTGTCGAAATCAGTAAATCAGTAGCTCAGTAAACGAATGACTAACTGAATGACTGACTAACTGACTAACTGACTGACTGACTGACTGACTGCGTCAATTGGCATCATCGTTAAGAGTGATAGAGAGCCGAGGCAGTTCTATCAGTGAGCCGGCAAATGTCAATTAAAGTGCGGCCGTCCAGTAATTAATGGGGAACGAGCAGAGTCCAAGCCAGAAAATAAAACTTAAATGCAAAAATATATATATATATTTCTTAAAGTCTTAATCCAACTACAAATTAATGGAAATATCTTTCCTTTCTAAGTTAAAACCTTTAGCTATATTTTTAGATTTACTTGGAATCGATAGCCTTGACAGCTGTGCACAGCTCGTGTCGTCGTCGGTGGAATAAATAATGCATAAGAAGGAATCGACGAACATCGGCGGATGGCAGATGTCGAACGTACAAAGTTAACACTTTGTCCGTGACTTTTCAATTGCTTTTCCCGTTGTAGTTTTCCCATTTCCCGCCTCCCGCCTCCCCTCTCTCTCTCACACTCACTGTATATCTTTTTCTTTATACAATTCTTTTCTATTTTTGTTTATTCCCCAGTTGTTTATGTTTTATTTTTCCTGGAATTTTGATAACACGGAAGTCTACGTGGAATATGTACCATCCTGCGACTTCCTTGACACTTTTTTTGAGGGCCTAATAAAACTTAATTCCTATCCTTAATACTAATATATTCTGATTTCTATTGGTTTAGATCACACTTCGTTACCACCGGTTACACAGTCGAGTGGGAAGAGGAAAAGGGGGGGTAAGCTGAGAAGCTTTTCACTGCAATTCCTTTGAATAAATTTCCCCCAAGTCTGACCCAAGTGCATGTGCAACTAGTTCCCTGTAAAAGCTTTTCTTTATAAATATACCACGTGCAGCTGATATTTCTTACACGGAATTAAAAACTATTCAATCATTTATAACAACCCAAAAAAAAAATAAATATATAGATAAAGAGAGGTTAAGGTTAAGGCGGGTTAAATGCAGGTTGACTTGAGTTCAAACACAAACAAACGAAAAAATATATTTTTTGAAGGTCGCATTAGGTAAATATTTTCTTGTTTAGCCAACAAAACTAAAATTATGCAAATATTTTGAGCAACACCCAAAAGCGGTAACAATAAATACTAACCCAAAGGTTTGATGAACGTTCAAAAAATTGTAATTAGGGGAATTAAGTTTGTATTACAACGTATATATAAATTTATAAGGTCAAAGAACATTTGAATAAAAAAAAAAAAAAATCAAAACTAGAAAATCGAGAAAATCAATTTGTGGCTGCTTGTTTTCCCCACCAAGACATATAAATCAATACAAATTAAATATTGATGGAAATGCCTTAAGGGGTAAAAAACTTGCAGCTTTGGCATTTTTATTTTCTTAACCACTCAAAAGTAATACTCCAGAGACCAGGAAATATATGCGGAAATACAATAAGGGCAAAGGGAAATTGAGAAAAACTAGACGGGAAAACTGGAGCAGGGCCACTTGAGTCGATTACAGCGTTGTCCAGCTCATTTGGCAGCCAATTAAAATACATTCAAGCTCTCCTCCTTCGGAGGGAAAAATCAATCGAGCAGAATAACAAGTGTTAGAGAAAGAGATGGATGAAAGGATAAATGAAGTCCTCGATTGGAAAACTTTTTAAAGTCCCATAATATTTAAGCTTATGAAACATTGAAAATGACATGAGCATATATACTCATCATGTTGCGGGTTCTAGGAGCTTCAGGGGCTTCAGGCTGTGCCGCAGGGTTTCGAGTGTTACCAAGCAACCTATTAGCCCACTCCATCAGCCTCATCATAGTCGAGCATCATTAGCATTGGGCCTCCGTTGTTGTGTGGGGTAATTAATGGCTTTTCCGCCAGCCAACCAGCCAGCCAGTCACCCAACCACCCACTGCAGGTTACTGAAACCAAAGTCATAAGCGGTAACTACACTGAAATTAAATTTTGGCCTAAGCTTGACTTTACTCAAAATGTAATAAATACAAGATAAAGTTATAGAAGATAGCCAATGCTAGTCTGATATTGTAATATTTGATATAATATAGGTTTATAAAAATTCTTCCTGTGTAGTTCTTGTTTCCGCACTAATTGGTTACATGGGAAAAATGGGCCCATGATGTGTTGCCTTCATAATGGCTCAAATTCGTCGATGAAGCAAAGTGGCTAGAACATGTGGAAGAGCACTATATGAATGCGTATATATCCCGATATTCAAGTACTATATTTCTAAACTGACGTCAATCGACTGCCCTGACCCAAATTTCTATTATTTTTGCGGCCTCTGACAATAGTTTTATATTATTAATAATTTATTAATGCAAATATTGAATGGAAAAAGGCAGACTAAAAGATATTGCTTTACTATTTATACAAAAAAACAAGAAAGGAAGCTAACTTCGGCACGCCGAAGTTTGTATACCCTTGCAGATATTATTTCATTACATTTTACCTATACTTATTATGTTTACAGTTTGACAGTTACAGTTTTGCATTACCAGCTTTACATTTTGTATACATCTACGGATCGGTTTATATGGCAGCTATATGATATAGATGTCCGATTTTTTTGAAATTTATACCAAAATTCTAGAATAATAAAATAAGCTTATATCCCAGAGTAGATGAAAATACGTTGAAAAACAACGAATCTATAATTTTTATACCCTTGCAGGGTATTATAATTTCAGTCAGAAGTTTGCAACGCAGTGAAGGAGACGTTTCCGACCCTAGAAAGTATATATATTCTTGATCAGCATCAACAGCCGATTCGATCTAGCCATGTCCGTCTGTCCGTCTGTCCGTCTGTCCGTCTGTCTGTTTCTACGCAAACTAGTCCCTCAGTTTTAAAGCTATCTGAATGAAACTTTGCATATAGTCTTCTATATACTCTCACTGCTATATATGTCGGAACGGGCCGGATCGGACGACTATATCATATAGCTGCCATACAAATGTTCGATAAATTTATAGAAAAATAATTATAACTTTGCTGTTTTTAAACATTTTTGCATAATTTTTTAGATATGGCCATTTTATATTATTTTAGAATTTTGGTAAAAATTTGATGAAAATCGGACGACTATATGATATAGCTGCCATAGGAACGATCGGGAAATTAATACAAATAAAATTATAGCTTCGTTGTTTTTCAACGTATTTTGATCTACTCTGAGATATAAGTTTTTTTTATTATTCTAAAATTTTGGTATGAATTTCATAAAAATCGGACAACTATATCTTATAGCTGCCATAGAAGCGATCGGTAAATGTAGAGAAAATGTAAAGCTGGGAATGTAAAACTGTAACTGTCAAACTGTAAACATAATAAGTATAGGTAAAATGTAATGAAACTCTGTTTTGTGAGTGTTTTCAGCATTTAAGTCTATAATATAAACATCAAAACCAATCTGCAAGGGTATACAAACTTCGGCGTGCCGAAGTTAGCTTCCGTTCTTGTTTTCTATTAATTTCCCTATCGTTCCTATGGCAGCTATATGATATAGTCGTCCGATTTTCATAAAATTTTTACCAAAATTCAGAAATAATATAAAATGGTCATATCTAAAAAATGGTGCAAAAATGTTGAAAAACAGCAAAGTTATAATTTTGTTTCTAAAAATATATCGAACATTTGTATGGCAGCTATATGATATAGTCGTCCGATCCGGCCAGTTCCGACATATATAGCAGTGAGAGCATATAGAAGACTATATGCAAAGTTGATAGCTTTAAGATAGCTTTAAAACTGAGGGACTAGTTTGCGTAGAAACGGACAGACGGACGGACAGACGGACGGACAGACGGACGGACAGACGGACGGACAGACGGACAGACGGACATGGCTAGATCGACTCGGCTGTTGATGCTGATCAAGAATATATATACTTTATAGGGTCGGAAACGTCTCCTTCACTGCGTTGCAAACTTCTGACTGAAATTAGAATACCCTGCAAGGGTATAAAAATATAAAACAATATAACAAAATTTATAAAAAAAATAAAAAACAATATAAACAAATATAAAACAATATAAAAATATATAAAAAATATAACAAAAATATAAAATATATATAAAAATATTTAAAATTATTTTAAAATAGTATTTAGACCCAGCAAACCTGTTAATTAAGTGCTATCAATGGAAAAGGTTAATGTTAGTTAATGTTAACTATTTTCTAGCTCTACCGCCTTGTAACTTCCTTCAAAGCCTAATTTGTAGACCCCTGGTAACCCCTTCTTAATGGTTATTCCCATCTCTGGACCTGGGCTTACAGCTTGGCATTTGCGCCTGCGCTATCGTTGCATGATTGATGATGCCACAAGGGAACAAGCCCGGCGACAAGAGAAATAAAATACTACGAATACCCCTTGAAAAAATCAAAGTTCAGGTAAAAGACACCCAGTGTCAAAGCAAAAGGAGGGTGGGTGTGAGTGTGTGAATTTCTCGTTACCTTTTGTCAGCTAAAATAAGAAATAAATTAACAGCTAAGGTCAGACAATTAGCTGTCAGCTGAGTTTTAATTGAATGAATCTATAGTGGAAAAGATTACTTACTTAGATATATATGAAATATACTTGTAAGAAATAATTTCAACAATTCAAAATTTCTATTTGAGAATATCAAAGAATATAATTATATTAAAAACGTATTATCAACTTGGAGAATCAACTAAGTTGTCGGCACAAAACTATTATAATTCCTTGCATGATGCTGACGCTGCTTTTCTTGCCTTTTCAGCTTCCTCTGCGCATCCCGCTCCTGGGCCTTTGTCCACAAGGCGATCTTTAACTTGATTCGCTCGTTGTGGGTGGCCACCTGTCTCTCGGTCGCCAGCTCAAACTCTTTGATCTGGTTCTCGCTATGCAACATGCAGGGACGAAACTGCCGGCGCAACCACTTCCTTATGTTTAGGCTCCTTTTCTTGCATTTTTCAGATATTTCTTGGGGACCCTTTTGCTTTTCGAGATCTCCATCCTTAGTTTTGACTTCGGGTATCGGGCCACTCGCTACACTGGTTTGTGTCGGCTTGGATCGTTGTCGTTTTATGCAGAGCCAAATAAGTAGAAGGACTACGATGGCAGTAGCACCCAATATGAAACCTACGATTAGCGTTAAATCCGCTTCCTCGGCCTCTTCCCCTTCAGGTTCTTTGTCCAGTTCCCGCTTTAGCCTTTGGCAATCTCTGGCGGTCATTAGGTTTATGTCCTTGTAGACAGCCGAGGTCTCGTAGAGCCACCACAGGGAATACTGCTTGATCGGTGCATTATTGTTAAGAAGGAGATGTCGACACCTGTCGTACACCTCGTTCATCCAACGCTGGCACTCGGGTTTGTTGATATCGATTTTGCAAATGGGATTCATTACCGGAGATAAGATTCCTAGTGTTATTGGGGATTTATATATATATATGAGATTGTATTCGAATATCCCACTGAGTATGTTTTGATTTGATATAGGTGCTCTTTCTGACCTTTAACAATTTTCCCCTTCCACTTCTCCTTTTGCCCACCTCAGCACATGCAAAATCACGTAGTGACGAAAGACAAACTGCCATAAAAATAAGATACAAATCTCATGGAAATGCGACGGCAACTTGGGCTTATCTAAGAGCTCTAGCGAGCTGAAATCAGAGAGGTAAAGGCACTGAGAGAAATAGATAATAGATAATTATAATCTAATAACTAAAAACGAATTGTTCTTTTTCTTTGATTACTTTTCCGATGAGAACTTTAAATTAAAGCCAGCTTGGACTTAATTAAATTCTAATCCATACTTAGTTCCGATATTTTTCAGTGCATAGTTAGCGGTGACAGCTGCAAAGATTTACGCTGATGTGTTTTCGGCGATGTGGCAATAAAAAATAGTTAAAAACAATTTAAAAACAGAAACAACATATAGAAAAACGGCGTTTGTACTTTTTATTTTTTAAGCTCTCTATAATTTTAAACTAAAAATGACAAAATAAAATAATTTTAGCAATTAAGTTAAGAAAAAGGAATAAAATAACAAACAATTATAAATATTTAGGCCTAATTCTTTTAATTTGCTAATAAAAATAATAATAATAATTTTTGTTTAAATTTAATTTTGATTTTTTGTAAAGTTATTCTTCTAAGAAGCTAACAAGATTCAAGATTTTTCGATACATTTTTTACTTCTACTAGCATTGCGGATTTAATCCTATCTGCATTATTTTTCAACTTAGGGCTATTTATTTATCATTAATAAATGCAATTACAGCAAAAACAAAAAGCTTTGATAATATATATTCTTTACGCTATTTTTGTGAGCAACTTTATGTTTATCTAAGACCCGCAGCTTCTGACTGAAACGCTCCTAAATGGCAAGTTAATGAGCTCAAGTGGACGAGAGGGAAGAGACAATAATAAAATCAAATAAAACTAAATTGGTTCGCTTTCCTTTTCGATCGTTTTTAATTTTTTTTAACACCCGCATGTATACACTGAAAACATGACAATAAATGTTAAAAATTTCACAAATTCAGCAATTAATGATTATAAAATTGAATTAATAAATAATTTTTATGAATTTCACAAATATAAATTTTTTGTTTTTTTGATTTTGATTTTATTTGCCTTCCTAACGCTACAAGTTTAGAACTTATAAATTAGAGCGCTAGTCACAAATTTTAATGAAATTTAAAACAAAAATCCTTTTTGATAAATTCAACAAGTTGTTCTATTTTGTTTTAGTTTGTCTTAGTGTTTTCCACTTCTGAATGGATAGAAAACGAGAGGGATGGATAGGGCATTTCCCATCAATTAAACTGACAGCAGCAAAAGGCCATTACACGCTCATCAAAACACTTAACACGCACACACAACTAGAAAGGGTGTGGGGTGTGTGGGTGTATGGAAAGAAGGGGCTGACCAAGCACAAAACACCACAAGATGCAAGATTTAATACAGGACTTGAATTACTGGAAAAATGATCATTAGGTTGGGAAAACTGTGAAATAATACCCTGTGTATCCACAGTTCTGTATAGAAAACATTTATCCGTAACGCTTAATTAAATTATCATGGATGAAACCTTATAAAATGGCACGATTTTACAATAAAAACAATGAAAAGTTGTAAGCCCTTAGGGGGTCAATGTCCTAAACCAATTGCATTTCAACGTCCAAATCGAATCGCAAGTAGTTCATGGACAAGTCAACTAATTAATCTCTTCCCTTTCCACCTTTTCAATGAGTTTTGAGTCACTTTCTTACAAGCTTAATTGAAAACAATCGAATTCTAAAACGATGATTGGCAGCAGGCATTTTTCATTTCCTTTTTGATTCTAGTTTGTTTTCTTCTTTTGTTAAATATTAAAAGCAAGTGAAAATAGTTGAAAAAACTTTGGGCATTTGCTTGCACTTGAACTGCAAATAAGCGGAGCTATTACCCCTTCCAGCTTTATGTTTCCTTTATCACTATATACATACATATGTGCGAGAGTCCCTTTTTATGTGCAAAGGACAAAAGTTGTTTAAGCGGATTAATAAAGCTAAGAGAAAAGTTTGCCAGCACAAAGGATTGCGGTGCATGCCATACCTAAGCCCTACTCGAGTAATTAAAACTTTTTCCCAAATTGTTTTAGCAAAATTGGTTGGTTACTGATGAAGGAATTAACATATGTAGCGCTGTGTGAGATCGGAGGCATCTTTGCTGACAATGATTAAGATAATCTGACATAAAAAACAAGTAAAAAAGATCCAAAAAAACATTATTAAGGGATTCTCAGAACAATGCAAGTTAAAAATGGATCAAAATTTCATATTTTTGTGACTCTACTTCCAAAACGAGATATGTAAAGAAAGCACATGTGTAAAAACACACACAACAACTTTAATAATGAAAAACAACTTTCGTTTTTCCTGAGCTCGTACTAAAGCCATTAAAAAAGAAAATAATCATCTTTCTGTCTGCCTGGGTTTTCTTTTAATGTACTTTAACGTGTCTCTCTCTCTCACTGTTAGTTTTTAGTTTTTGGTATTAGAAAACAATATCACTTTCTCTGGTTTCTTAGTTTGTAGATCATTAGGTTTGGATATTTTACGGGGAAACCCCTATAACTTCCAACATATGATGCAACTTTTTTGGTTTTGCCTTTGCTTATAGATGTTTTAATATATCAGGTGTATAAGCCTAGAATATCTTTTCTTTTTAATACAATATTTCCCAACATGTAGGGTTAGTTCAGTATCTCCATGTCGGATCCAAATGTTTGTGTATTGCCAAATAACTCAATTTGTTGCCGAGCCTTGTCAAACGTCAGCGACGACGACAATGACAACGACGACTTTTCCTCTGTTCTTTGAGTTGCGCTATATAAACACACACAAAATCTGTATATACATATATGATACACACTCCCCAGTTTCTTCCTGTTTATGTATATATGTATATTTTTGTCCATTTGTAGATACGAGACAACGCGTTCGGTACGACAACAAATGCCAAACATGTGTGGCAAACGTGCGACATATTGAGCATTCCTCGGAATCTGAATCTCAAGTTAAATCGGACTCCGAATCCGAATCCGTTGCCCCGCGGCGAAGGCAAAAACTGGAAGAAGGAGGAGAATGAGAAGGAGTAGGAGCAGGAGTAGGAGGTAGGAGGCTTAGGGTGTACGGGTTTCAGGAGGTGGGCACTCCGAGGTAGGTTTAAGGAATCGCCAAACTGCACGTTTCCTGCCATTTAATTTGATTAAAGCCTGACAAGCCGAGTTCAGCCAGGGGGCAAACACAAAATATGAGGTGAAAGAATCGGCCAAGAAGAAAATAACAACCTTTGATCGAAAAAAGGCCTCAATATTGAAGTAAAGAACACACAAAACTTGTAACCTTCAAAGATGAGCGCGACAACCAACGAATCCAATTGCAGTTCTCAAGCAACGACTTGGGCTGTTCTTTTTCAGCCTCTAGCAAAAAAACCGCGACGAAAAGCTCAGCTTTGGAGTACAGCCATGGCTACACAGTGAAAAAATATGTGCAGTTAATTAAAACAATAATAAATATTGTTAGAATTATTAACGCTCTAATATAAACATTATATCACTTCTCTACGGGAATAGGCAGTGGTTTTTAATGATTAAATTTGCTTAATTATTAAATAGATTTATTAAACTTTAGTTATTATTTGATATGTACTTTTGAAATGAGTGATAATTTTGACCAGTTTCCAAGATGTAATAATTTACTTCTTTTTGTTTATCGTGTTTCAAGCCTAAGGCCAAAACTTAAAGCGGCACGATATTCACTTGATACATTATGGTCATCGGGTTTGCTGATGCATTTTCGGTCAGTTTTTGCGAGAATTTATATACCCTTTGGTATGAAGTTTGTGACTTAAGCAAAAGTGAACAAAAAATAAAGGTATACTGAACATTGTAATAAAAATAAAACTTTTTACAAAGGCATTTCAGCTATGCTACAGAGTTTGATAAAACAAATTTCATAAAAGAAGACACAAATAATTCAATTCAAAAATATTTACTTGTATATTTGTAGACACTATTTATATTATTTCTGAATTTGATTTCTTTATATAAATAAATAAATTGTTCAGGTAGTATAAGGAGCATTGGTTGTGTTCCCCTTTTCAGTCTTAGCCTAAGGCCTAGTTCTCTCTTCCACCGTCCATATCCCTTTTTATGGTTGGAGAGGGTTTCTTTTTTATTTAGCGTGGGGCAAGCAATTGCAGTAGGAAATGTGCCCTCCTTACCACCAAAAAACGCGATAATTTTGATTTTTTATCGTCTTTTTTTGTTTGCTCATGCTTGTTTTCTGGTTTACACTTGCAAAGGGTAATGGAAATAAGCTCTTAGTAAGCATAATTAGCTAATTTCCACATTTTTTCTCTTTTGCCTTTTAAATCAATTAAAAAAGTGTCTAAAAGTAGGCACTAAAATTGTTTAAGAGGGAGATGCAGGGGAATTTTGTTCTTTTGATTTTGGACTTTGGATACATTTTTAATGAAATTCAATATTATGGATATTTTTGTGACACCTTCGAATATTAACTAATAAATATATTAAAAGTTTTTTTACTGAAAAGGTATGAAAACTTCGGTACCTTTCTTTCACTCTTTTTTTGTCCCGTTCTTTTTCTTAAGAACATTTTCATAAAAGCAATTGAAATGCAGCTGCGTGTTGAATTTTTAAATATGCAACAACTTGAATTTCGGCCGCTTTCTTTTGTTTTTCTTACCGAAAGGCCAAGAAATATTACAATAATAAATACTGGGCATATATGAAAAAGGAGGCTTCGAGTGTACGGGCGGGCTCCGCCCTCTCTTCGACTCCTGATCATAAATTAAGAGAACCGAAGAAGAATATGGAGAGATAAGGCCGGGAGCAAAAGGAGTCCGAGCAATTATCAATAAGAGCGGAGAAGAAGCAATTAAATAAACCAACTATAAAGTGTATACAGACACAAACGCAT